TGTATGTAAAGCTCTTTCTTATACACATGAGTGTCTATGAATTTGTTTCTCTAGTCCACCCGTATTGACACAGAGGGGCAGGCCCAGAAGACGGTGTGAGATGGAGGCAGAAGGAAAGGGCTCTGAGAGGTCATGCCCTTCAAGGCAGAACCACTGCCTGGAGTCCATTGGGCCTGCCTGGAGTCTGCAGCAGCGGACCCATGTTGACGCTCAGTTCTGCTCCATATTATTTAGTGTACCATCGTATTCAGTCATTCAATCTGTCTCAGCCTCAGTTTCCCCATGTATAGAATGCGGATCCATCTATCCGCTTGTCAGACTGTGGTGATTTGTGTGCTGCTGTGATGCAGAAAGTCACCAGTATTTCAAATGCCAGCAGGGTCAGCCATGGTGGACAGGGTTCAGTGGGGCTTGCACTGAGACAGAAGAAGAACCCGGCATACACCCCCTACCCACGCACTCTCTTCTGAGCAACTGGAATGCTCATGCTGCCAAACTCCCTCTCTCCTCTCTCCCGGACAGTGTCTCTTTTCCAGGCATTAGGCATCCCATCTCACACACATACACACACACACACACACACACACACTCTCTCTCTCTCTCTTTCTCTCTCTTTCTCTGGTGTCTCTTTTTCCAAGTGTTAGGCATCCCATCTCACACACTCACACACACTCACACACGATGCTCTTTTTAACTTTAGTATCATTTTTTTAAAAGCACGTTTACTGTGCGTTGAGTGCGTGTTTACAGAACAGATGGCTTTTCTTTATGACAGTTCGCACGTTTTACCTTGTGTTGCTGATTGCAATCCCCACGGGGTAACATCACGAATCCCACCTTCTCCCTGTTTCATGTTTCTATTCCTCTTGCTTTTCCAACCCTTTTCAATGCCGCCCTTGGCAAATATTCCCATTTTGATCTCCAACGGTTGCATATGCTATGGTGTGTGTACCTCACAAGCCTTCTAAACCTGCCCACTGTTTGGTTGTAACCTGACCATGGGCATAAGTTCCCCTCCAGACCCGCAGGATGACTCGGGTCATAGTCTTGTGGGTCCCACCAGTCTCTATCTGACTAGTGACCTGATCTTTTTTATAATTTTGAAAAGCGTTTCACATTGCCGCCCACTCGATCCAGGATCGTCTAATGCAGTGGTTCGCAGCCTTCCTAAGGCGGTGACCCTTTCACACAGTTCCTCGTGTTGTGGTGACCCCACGACCATAACATTATTTTCATTGCTACTTCATCACAGTAATTTTGCTGCTGTTCTGAATCGGGCGACTCCTGTGAAAGGGTCGTTCAAACCCCAAAGGGGTCACGACCCACAGGTTGAGAACCGCTGTTCTAATGAGCTCCCTTCAGAGCACGGTAGCCAGGTTCCGTCTAGTCCTTCTGGCCTCAGGGTTGTAGAGATTAATGTTCCTGCGATTCGTTAGTCCATTGGAATGTTTCCATGTATCTTCAATTTCTTCGCTCTTCTTTCCTCCAGACAGGGAGAGACCGAGAGACGCACCTTAAAAAAAAATGCAAAAGATGTGTAGGATTTGAAGAGAAGCCAGAGGATGAATGGTTGAACCTTAAATGGCTGTTTGTGAGATGTTAAGACTCGAGTTGCTACTCACCAGAGTAGGACGTCCTTGTGGGCTGTGTTATGCCCTTGACCTTAGTATCCCTGAAGACCAGGGTCTTTAGCCAGCAGGCCCCATTTCTCATTCCCTGAAGGTGCTTGGCTATGTCTCAGAAAATGTCATAAGGTTGCCCCCTGAATGCTCCACAACATTCATGGATATATTTGCAGCAGGTAAATACACATGTATCTTATGTCAAATAAATAACTTCTGCCAAACCTACATATTGGAGTATAGTTCCACTCTCCCTCCCACGCCATTCAGCCTGCTTGTCTATCCATGCATCTGCTCCTGAATCACGTCACTTCAGGGGGTTGTAGATAAACAGTATTTAGCTCTGCCTTTAACTCTTGGACTCTTTTTAGTGTCTTCCTCTGCCTCCATCATATTTTGCTGACCTCTCTTGTTATATATTGCCCCCCCCCCCAAGTTAGTGCACATCTACCCTGTAGCCATTCACTTCCTTCGCCCTCCCACCACTGGAAACCATGAAAGAGTGCTCCTTCTGGTGTGGAAACCTTTTCTGGATATTTTACACTAGTGGTCTCATACAATATTTGTCCTTTTAACCAAATGAGCCCACATGGAAGAAGCACACCAGCCTGTGTGATCATGAGGTGTCGACAGGATCAGGTATCAGGTATCAAAAGATTTGAAACAAACAACTGTATCAATGGGAATGAGGGAGGTTGGAGTGGAGACCCAAAGCCCACCTGTAGACAATTGAATATCCCCCCACAGAAGGGTTATAAGGCAGGTATGATTCAACCAAGTTCAGTAAAGCACCAATGAAATACACATCATTCCTCTAGTTTTTAATTGTCCGCCGCCCCACTACCATGTCCCAGTTCTACCTTACAAATCCGGCTAGACCAGAGAACACACATTGGCACAGATAAGAGCCCTCGACACACATAATTCAGGACAGATAACCCCTCAGGAACAGTAGTGGGAGTAGTGATACCATGAGGGTAAGGGAATGTTTGGTGTGGGGGAAGGGGGAGAAGGGGGAAACCCATCACAAGGTTGGATATATAGCCCCCACCAGCCCCAAAGGGGATGAATAACATAAATGTGATTGAAGGGAGACAACAGACAATGTAAGATATGAAATAATAATAACAATATATAATTGATCAAGGAGTCATGAGGGTGAGAGGGAGGGGGAAAAAGAGGAGGTTATACCAAGGCCTCGAGTGGAAAATGTTTTGGAAATGATGATGTCAACATATGTACAAATATGTTTGATATAATGGTTGGATGGAATGTTATAAGAGCTGTAAGAGCTCCCGTTAAAATGATTTAAATATATATATTTAAATCATTTTAATATAATTTGTCCTTTTGTGATTGACTTATTTCATTCAGCATAATGGTTCAAGTTCATCCATATTATGAGTTTTGCAGATGCATCATTATCCTTAGCATGGCAGAGGAGTCCCATCGTGTGCATGAGCCAGAGTTTGTCTCTCTATTCTTCCACGGACAGGCACTCAGGTTGCCCCCATCTTTTGCTGTTGTGAACAGCGCTGCAATGATCACAGCTGTGCACGCATCTATTCCTGTTGTGGCTTTTATTTCTCTTGGATATATACCAAGTAGAGGATTGCTGGGTCATATGGTCTAAGATGTCTAACATTTTTAGGAACCACCATGCCTTTTCCCACAGTGGTTATACCATTTACAGTCTGTGTTAGTCCGGGTTGACCATAGACACTCATATGTGTACAAGAAAGAGCTTTATATAAAGAGTAACTGTATATTAAGAAAACATCCCAGCCCTGTCCAGGTCAAGTCCATAAGTCCAATATTGCCCATATGTTAGATACCAGTTTGTAAATTCTTCTTCTGACTCACACAACAGATGCAATGAGACCAAATGCAGGACGATCACAGGCCAGTGGGTGGAAAGTCTTGTGGATCCAGTGGTGGATCCAGTGGTGGATCCACAGAAGTAGATCTCCAGGTCTTTTTCCCTCATCTGTCTTAGTCTGGAGGTCCCACTGGAACCTGTTGGACATCATGTGAGACACCAGCTCCCATCACATAAAGTAAGGATCGTATCACAGAAGGTAGGGGTTGTACAAGAGGTACATTGTCTGGGAATAGACAATTTGAAAATCCCAGAATTCTACCACTGAAGACCATGCCTCCCTAGGTATTTTATTTTTGCCTGTTTTATAGATGGGAAAACCGAGGCTTGGAAGAAGTGACATCACACTGGGAGTAGAGCAGAGAGTGGGGATTTGGACCCCAGCTGCCTAGTTCCAAAGCACATGCTCCTCCCATTTCTACGGCCTCACAGGGCTGCAGAGACGACTCCAGGGAGAGGGCCCAGCGGCCGTTACAGCCGCCTCACCTCCCACACTGTCTGGAGGGAGAAGGAGCCAGTGAGTCTGAGGGCGGATGTCTGTTCTTCCCTCCCCAGCGAGACCACTGTTCCGAAGCAAAGGGTCTGAGCATGTGCTGTCAACCGGGTCACTAACTGATGACCCCTCCTGGGAAGTGCGGATCTTTTCATAAGAGAGACAATGCTGACCTCTCCTCTCTCCCTTTGCCCCCTTGCCTTCCTGCTTGCTGGGACTCTGTGCCTGTCTCCAGGGGCCCCATGGGAGCCACCGAACCCTAGAGCTGTTGGTGCCCTGCTGTGTTTCCACAAGACTGCCCCAACCTGCAGTGATCTCCCTGCGTCCTGCCCCTCCTTTCTGCATCATTGCCCCGCAACTTCGTGCCTCTGAAGAGGGATCCAGACGGGGCTGGGTGGCTCACTTGGCATCAGATGACTTCTGGACAGAAAGCTCTTTCTTGTACCTGGAGAAGTGCCACTGGTTTCCTTTCTCCAGACCACCCAGCCTACCACAGTGAGAGAGGCTACTCCTGCCTTCACCACTTCGCTCTCAGCTCATACCCTCAGATTTTGCCTCGGGGTCACAGTTCCATGCAGTGGCCATTGGTTTGGGGTGTAAACTGGGTGCTCCCTCCTCACAGGACACCCTCACTCCGCTGTCCACGGGCAGTCAGGTCTCCTGCTCTCCCAAGACCCCGGCGCACATGGAAGCTGGTTTTCAAATAGAGTGTGCTTTTTCCTCTGCAGATGGCGTGGCTTTGTCCCAGGACTCTAGGGACCTATGCCGTCGTTCTGCTGCGGCTTCGCCAGGAACTCCCCACAGCATCCTCTCCCATCACAGATACGTCTGTTTGCAAAGGGCCCACTAGGCCACCGACCCAAGCAGGACTCCTCGCTCACTGCCTGGATCTCCTGCAGAGCCCTTCCCTACTCTGGCCCCCTCCCAAAGCTGCCAATCTTCCACGCCACTTGGTAAAATAGGCTAGTCTCCAGTGTGGGAGACACTGTCTCAAAATCTCCAAAAGGGGACGGAGTCGCGCTGCCCCCGGGCAGGGGCCCCGGGCCGGGGCCTGGCGGCGGGGTCCTCAGCGGTGGTTGGGGTGCCCAGAGTCAAGCACCGTATGGGAGCGCGGGCTCTGTGAGCGGTGCGGAGCAGGTGCTGCTGCATGAGGAAGGAGGTGATTCTGGTTTTGTCAGTCTAGCTCGTTTGGGCCCCTCTCTGCGAGACAAGGACTTGGACATGGAGGAGCTGCTGCTGCAGGATGAGACCCTGCTGGGGACCATGCAGAGCTACATGGATGCCTCCCTCATCTCCCTCATTGAGGATTTTGGGAGCCTCGGGGAGGGCCGGCTGTCTCTGGAAGACCAGAACGAAGTGTCGCTGCTGACAGCTTTGACTGAAATCTTGGACAATGCCGATTCCGAGAACCTGTCTCCGTTCGACAGCATTCCCGACTCGGAGCTCCTTGTGTCACCTCGGGAAGGAGCCTCCCTGCACAAGCTACTTACTCTGTCTCGGTCACCCCCGGATCACGACCTGATTGCCTCAGGTGACCCTTTGAGGCCGACCACAGGCAGTAGCAGAGTCGATATGGCCCTTGCAGCAGATTCTTGGGATTTCCCCCCACCTTCTTTCTTGGAGACTTCTTCCCCCAAGCTTCCTAGCCGGAGGACCCCGAGGTCACGACCCCGCTGGGGGTCGTCCTCACCTCCTCCGCAGCGAAGTGATGGAGAAGAGGAGGAGGAGGTAGCTGGCTTCAGTGCCCAGGTGCTTGCTGGGGAGTTCGACAACTCAGGGAGTCACATCCTAGACTTCCCCATGTACCTGGCCTGCCCCGAGGAGGAAGAGGAAGATGCAGCAGCAGAGACGGCGGCACCATCCGTCGGTGACGAGAGCATCTCCTCCCTGAGTGAGCTGGTGCGGGCCATGCACCCATACTGCTTGCCCAACTTCACCCACATGTCATCGCTTGAGGACGAGCTTCTAGAGCAGCCCGAGGACCTGATGCTGTCCGAGGATTGTGTGGTGCTGGAGATTGTGGGCCATGCGGCTACTGCTGGCGATGAGCTAGAAA